GAGGCAGGAAATGTAAATATGGAACTGAGAGAGGTAAGGAAGAACTGTGGAGTTGGACTGGAATTGTGCATAACTGTGTGAATACACGTGCGTGCATGCGTACACACACACGTCCTAATTCTGTCCTTTGAAAGGGGCTAGAAGCAACAGCTCGGTTGCACTGAGCACTCCTTATGCTCGGGTCGTGGTTACCAAATACCACTGAAAGGAAACAGGAACTCTTGGAGAAATGGCTGATTCCAGGGCTGGGCAAGAAACCTAAAAGATGAACAACAGAACATTTTGTGCCAGAAGTTAGAAAGTGCTCAAAATCTGATGGGGACATGCAACAGAACACCGGGCCAGCCTGAAGATGCTCACCACTAGCTAACTTGGGGACAATTTGAGCATCAAAATGAATAAAGATAGGAATATGTTATGTAGCTCATTAAATTAAATAATCCATGAATCCATGTTAATAAGCTTCTTAATTTTGGGTGGAGAAAGGGAAGCTCTTCTTTACAAAAAAGTCAACTAATAAATGTAAAAGGAATGATAGAAATATAAAATCGCGTTTATAACCATCACTGTAAATATTGATTTAGGGAAGAATCATTCATGGATGCTAAATTTGTTTGGTGAAAATTGGGGGGAACAGGATATAGAAAATTTTGTCAAACACCACTTTAATTGAATAATCAAATGCAACTTCATCTATAGTAGAACACATTGACATCATTTCCCTCAATGGAACGCACCGAGAAGGACATAATATCATCCATGTAGTCATTTTGCTAGAATATTGACCTTTAAATAATGAGGAAACAATCACATAAATCCTTCTCTCCAAAAGTAACCACTTTCTCAGCTTTTAACATATTTATTGGCCTATTTTTTTAAACTCCTTCTCCCAATGTTATGTTCGTGAGACCCACCCTTGCTGTCCTATGTACAGTGACTACAGGGACATTCTGCAAAGCAACTAGCTCTGACCTTTCAAGAATGTCAATCTCATGAAAGAAACTAGAGGACCAGAGAACTCTTCTAGACTAAAGTGATCTAAAAATAGGACTACCACATATAATACATGAGCCTTGATTGGGTCTTGTATTGGAAATCAAAGACAAAATAAATAACATTATTGGGACAATTGAGACATACAGCATAGAAGAAAAGTACGTTTACAGTTGTGAGTATGCAAAGCAGAGCTTATTCTTTTATTATTTATCAATTAGTGTATTATTTTCCATACTATCAACTGTACATTTACTTTTCCCCCACCCTATATAGAATATAGATTGTATAACAGATCAGGGATTTTCAACCAATGTTCCAAAATAATTTTTAAAACATGCAATACCTGACTATTTAGTCAAGGGTACCGATCTCTTTTCCCTTAGATTGTCAAATTAAAAAATGACAACAGACAACACAACCATAGCCATCTGGTATGAATGCCCTGCCTTGAACCATAAGTATACAGGTCATATAATAGAGTTGCATCTTATTGGTCATGTTGCATAATAAGTGTGCATCTGATTGGTTAATCTTGGTACCAGAAACCTTATATATGAGTATAAGCACCAGATTTTTTTAAAAGTCACGTTGGAGCAAAAAAGTAGATGATGGTGATGATAATTTTGTAAATCAATCAAAATTATATCTGTTTTCTTATCAAATCAGCAAAAATATATTTTTTGGTGTGCCACAGAATTTTAGTAATTAGTTTATGTGTGCCATGAGATGAAAAAGGTTGAAAATCTCTGGAATAGGTGATCAAATTGTATCACTAATAAACTTCCTGAGTGTGCTGTAGGAGAATACATTAAAACAAATTTTTTTTCTTTATTGATTTTAGAGAGAGGGGAAGGGAGAGGGAAAAAGAGATAGAAATATTGATGAGAGAGAACATTGATTGGCTGCTTCCTGCTTCCCCCCAGTGAGGACCAGGCCCACAACCTAGGCATGTGCCCTGACCAGGAATCAAATCAATCCGGGAATCAAACCATGACCTCTTGGTGCATGGGTCAACACTCAACCACTGAGCCACACCGGCTGGGCAAAAAATGCATTTGTTCTTAGAAAATACTTGTTGAAATATTTCGAGGTGCCAGGATGCCTTCGACTAACTTTCTAATGGATAAGAAAGTTCCCAGCCTTTTAAATGCCCATAGAAATTTTTAGTATCAGTGTGTAATTATCCACGCAAAAAAATTATGTGGTTGAGCTTACTCTGAAATCTATAGATAAAGATGGAATGAGAACTGATATTGTTACTATATTTTGTGTCTTATTCTCTTTAGTATATCCCACCATTTTTGAGGTCTTTACTATTTCTCTGTGATTTTTGTAGTTTTCTATAGGGAGATATTGACATTGCACATCTTTGATTATTTTTATTCCTCAGTATTTGATGTCTTATTTTTTATTTTATATTTCAAATGTATTGATATTAGAGAAAGAGGAAGGGAGAGCAAGAGAGAAACATCGATTTGTTGTTTTACCCATTTATTGAACCCGCAACCTTGGCACATCCGGATGATGCTCCAACCAACTGAATAAATGACTTTACATGCTTGTTTTCTTAGGACAAGAAATCATTCTTATGATTTCAGATGTTCTCTTTTTTTCACATGAATCTATAAATTGTCCCAGGTTTGTCTCTATTTGGGGTTCAAGTTACATCTCCCAGACTATCTCTTAGCACCAATAAGTGACATAAAAACTTTTATTAGTCTGGCTGATGTGGCTCAGTGGTTGAGCCTCGACCCATGCACCAAGAGGTTGCCAGTTCTATTCCCGGTCAGGACACATGCCTTGGTTGTGGGCCCCATCCCCGGGGGGGGGGGGGGGCATGCAGGAGGCAGCCAATTGATGTTCTCTCTCATCAATGTTTCTATCTCTCTCTCCCTCTCACTTCCTCTCTCTCTAAAATCAATAAAAGAAGAAAATGTTTTGAAAAAAATTTTTGAAAAAAAACCCACACCATTATTATACTAAAAATCCTGGTTTCTATGAAACCAAGGTGAACTATGATCACCTTGATTACATAGTCTTTATGACCATCACCAGGCTTAGGATCTGGTTGGTATGCAGTATGGACTTGTTGACTAATTTCTACTGAGCTTTGTCCCCAGCCAAGCTAGAAGGGACTAGGTGTCCCTATAAAATTATGCCAATTTCATCTGACTAGTCTTTGATGTGACTGGCTTCTCCACCCCCTCCCCCCAAAGCCATAGGCAGTATTGTATTCATCACAAGTTCGTAAAAAAGTGAAGACTCAAGGTGCAGCCTTATAAAACAAAATTGCTTAAAATATGAGTCAGAGTCCGAGTAAAGAGCTTGTTTCTCTTATAATGAATAATGTCATTGCTGGGTTGGCCACGTTTCACACAATAAGTGTTCCTGAATATACATGGTGAGAAATCTAATTTTTGTAACCAAAGCACTATTTTCAAAAGCTGTAGAAAACTTAGTTATGGGCCAATTCAATAATAACTTTAGTTATTGAATTTTTTAAAATAAACCTAAAAACAAACTGATACTTGTTTCCTACGTCTGGATTCTTCCACATTGGGAGTTTGCTGGAAGTAAGACCCACCTATGAATCTGTACTCCTCATCTGTACTTGCTCAAGGTGACCTCTCTTCCACCCTGGAGAGACAAGGCCCAGAGCAGAACATGGGGATCATGTTCACCAGCCTGCTCCCCAGGTGAGCTGCAGACCACCCACCTTAGATTTTTCTAGGAGGGTGAAGGAGGTGGCAGTGGTAACAGACCAGAAGAGAGTGACGGATTCTTGGGGCCACAGTTCACACCACATATCACAGTCAGTTAAGATGTGTATTCATTACTTTATGCTCTGTAAACCTACCCTGTCTCAGGTACCCTAGGGAGAGAAAAGAAATAAGGATTAAGCCCTGTTCTCAAGAAACGTATCATCTATAAGGTGAGTTAGGACACTCTTCCCCTGTATTAACATTTTTCTCTAAGTGTCAAGTGAATGGTACCAATATTAAAAGTTATGGGCTTGGCCACGGCACAGTTGGCTGCAGGCTTGGTGGGGGTGGAGAGGCTCGGTGGGAGTTGGGGCACAGTCTGCAGCACGTGGTGCGGGTTCCTCTTCAGGAAGGAGCCCCACGTAGAAGAAACGGAAAGGAAATGCATCCTTGTGACCACAGGGGGGCCCCCTTCAAAGGCTCCTTCCATCCGCCCGCTCAGGTTCACCTTGGGAGTCTTTCCAATTTATTATTATTATTTTTCCTTCTTGTTTAAAGACACGATTCTTGGTATTACAAACTACGACACAATACTATTACAAACATTTTAAACTGGGAGAAATTAGAAAAATGCGTAAACATGGCCTGCAGTCTCAGTTTTTTTAAAAAAAAAGACCCCTTAGACGATGCTTCCAAACTTGTCCTGTTACCCACACCTACTCCTTTTAAAAAATAAAACCGGACCGTTCTGGACCGGCGTCTCTTCAAATATCAGAACATCTTCCCGTGCCAGTTTCTCCACCCAAAGAATCTTACATGCCGGCCCCGTGTTCCCCTGATCATTTCACTAAAAGGGCGTGTGGGTGATAATGAACACGGTGGCGAGTTCCGAGTGGGGTTCGCCGAGCTGCGTCCCTATTGTTGGGAGAGTCTGTTCCGTCTCCCACCGAAGGCAGAAGCGAGCCGCGGCCGCCCAATAGGCAGCGACGCAGGAAGCGGCCCGGATCGCCCGGCAGCGTCCAGAGCGGCAGGTGCGGCGCAGCGGGGCCCCGGGGGTCGCGGCGGGACGGGGGCGGCCCGGCAGGTCCCCGGAGCGGGGCGACCCCTCTCCGACCCCGAGTCCCTCGGGACGCCGGCTCCGAAGCCGGAGGCGCCCGCGGCAGGTGGGGCGCGGGTCCCGGCGGTGACTCAGCGCGCGCGCGGCCGTTTCCGGGGGGTCCGGGGGTCTGCGGGGCGGGGCGCGGCGCGGCGGGGCGGGGCCGGCGGCGCCTGCCGTTCGCCTCTCGGGCTGCAGGTGGGGCTGTGCGGCCGCGCTGCCTCCAGGAAGCCTCACGGGCCTGCGCCGGCTCCCAGGATGCAGTGTGGACCGGCCGGGCGCTGACGGCGGCGGCGCGTCTGCGGACAGAGCGGCGCGGGCCGGCCAGCGAGGAGCGCGCGCCGCGGACGGGGACGGCGGGCCGGGCGCGCGGGCGGCGCCTGCGGAGAGGCCGGAGCCGGCCTGCGTGGGGCCGCGCGGCGGCGGCGACTTCCTCCGGGCCGGGCCGGACAGCGCAGGGCCATGGCCGAGGCGGCCGCGGCTCCGGTAAGGGCGGCCCGCGCGCGCGGACTCGGGGCCCGGGCCCAGCACACGGCGCCGCAGGCCCGGGGAGGGGCTCCGGGGACCGGGCTGGGCCACCGGGCCTGGAGCTGCGGCGAGCGGGGCGCAGGGTCCGCCAGGGCCTACGGCACCCGCCGGCCGGGCCCCCCCATTCCGGGATGAGCCCGAGCGGGACGGAACCGGCCGTCCCCGCCCCAGAGGCGGCCCCGCGCCGAGTTCCTGCAGCCCTCCGCGGCTTCCTGCCCCGGCCCCACCCGCGGGCCCCTTCATCTGGGCGCCCCCACCCCCCGCGTCTCCTTTCTCTGCCCACCGCTCTGCCCTGCGTTCCCTGCCCTCGCAGCTCCCCCCAGCGGCCTGGTGGCACCTGGGAGGTGTCCGAAGCGGCTTGGATTCCGCAGACACCCAGTACCGAGTGCCCAGCTCGCTGGGCTGCGGGCGGAAGACAGCTGCCCCCGTGTGTAGAAACGGGCACCGCACCAGCCCGGTTAGGCATGATTTTGCCCTCCCCGCAAGCCCAGAGGGTAGGTACTGGCTCTCTTTGTCGTACAAAAGGAAAACCTGAGGCCTAGAGAGTTAACTTGCCCAGCTAGGAAGTGTGTGCAAAGACACAGCCGCTGTGTGTTCGGGAACACACCACACTGGGGGCAGCTGGCAGGGACGCAGGCAATAAGAGTGCAAAACAGAGGTGAGTGCTTCCTGCATCGAGGTGGAACATGCTTGGGAGGCGGGGGAAGGCGAGGGCAGGGGCCGCCCTCTGCAATCCGCACCTCTCCTGGCCTGCGCCTCTGTGATTTGAGCTGGGCTCGCAGGGAAGGCTAGGATTTCAGGTGGGGAGGACGGCTCCGGGCACCGACAGAGGCGGCAGTGCCAGCATGTTCAAGGAACGGAAAGGTGTCCTTGCGCCTGAAAAAGATGGCTTTGGTCGCCGGCTGCGGGAGGATTGGAAGGGGTTTGAATGCCAGGACTTCCACCACATGGATGAGGAGCTGTTGAAGGGTCGGGGGTTCTCACCACCCACTCCTCTCAAGCACAGAGGCCCCGGCTTCCCCGGCAGGAGTCTGGGGACAGCCCCATATTGTCCAGCCACCATTTAGTAAGGAGCTGTACTCGAGCAGAAATAGGCGCCACCTCACACCAGGTAGTGTGAAGGCCTTAACGGGGCTCCCTGGTCCTGTTAAAATGGTAAGAAAACCGGGTGCCTTATTGTTTATAAAAACAGGAGTTTATTCCGAGGCCTTTGACTGCAACACAAAGATTGTCATGATGGCAGTCAGGTGCACCTGGAGGCCCCTGGCGTAGGACTTTAGTGGGTGGGCAGCTAGGTAATGAAGTAAAAGGAGAATTCTGGAGCAAACTCTTGGAGGCTGAGACCACAGAGTGGGGACTGACGGGGGGAGGGGAAGAGGTGCCACCCCAGTGCAGTACCTGCAGCCTCTGGAGGGCAGGAGTCCCACACACGTCCACTTGTTACAGTTCTCTGCCTGTCCAGCTCCTCCCTATCCTTTGAGATGCAGCCAGAGCCCTTCCTTCTTCAGGTCAGGGGTCATCTGGTCCAGCCTCCCTGCAAACAGCCAGATTCTCTGACACTCCATCCTTGACAGTTGTCCGGCCCCTGCTCAAACTCTCCTTCTGTCACTATTTCCTGAGGTGTCCACTCATGTTCTAGTGCTCAGTGACTTTGTCCAAGTTAATCCACACTGGTTCCTCGTAGTCATTTCTTTATTTTGCAAATAGTTACCAACCATTTGTTTAGGAGTAATTTCCAGGATGTTGTAAGGAACCGCGGATCCTCAGGCACGCCAGGAAGAGGCATGAGTAGTGCCCCCACTCTGTGACATGTGGGTGTGACCTTCAGATGTGGGTGTGGGTGAGTCAGGTGGTCCAGCCCCCACCCAAAGCAATATGTGCCCTCTTCTCAGTGTCCCCAACTGCCGATCATTCAAGCCAATGTGTGAACTTTCCCGAGACAGGAAAGTCACTGTGTGGGGAAGCTCCATGTCTGTGGCATGGTTGCCGCACATGCCACAGTCTCACCTTCCCCCCAGTCTGCAGGTGTGTCACTGAGCCGGGGCAGCTACAAGAATGTCTGACACCGCCCTGGCTGGTGTGGCTCAGCACTCAGAGTGTCAGCCTGAGGACCCAAGAGTCTCGGGTTTGATTCCCGGTCAAGGGCACTATCCCTGGCCCCAGTCTGGGTCATGCAGGAGGCAGTCAATCGATGTGTCTCTCTCACATTGATGTTTCTCTTTCCCTCCCTTCCTCCCTCCACTCTATCTAAAAAGCAATGGAAAAAAAGTATCCTTCGGTGAGGATTAACGACAACAAAAAATGACAATAATTCTCCCCTTGGGAGAAGTAGGAACAGTGAGAGAAAAAGTCAGAATCTCGAGGGTTCTGGGGGACTCGTGTTATAGCAAAAAGTCTAACTCTTGGCTGGTAGAGATTTGCAATGACGGTGATTTTTAATTTGGGGGGTGGCGCCTGGGGAAGGGACAAACTCAGATTGTCCTGTGAGGAGAGGAAATGACCATTCGATTTTTATGTTTAGTAAAAGGAGACAGGAACTGCTTTTTTTTTTAAAAAAAGCAACTGAGCAGCGCTCTTGTTTGTGCCGTTTCGGTGAACCAGCTGTATTTTTTGCTAGGTCATCATCAGTAGCCGGGTCCTATGTGATCGTGATGGGAAGTGCTGGCTGGGCTCTCGTAAACCTGCAGTTTACCATTTCTCCACTGTAACACCCAGCAGTGCTCGGCCGCCATGTGTTTAGCAGAACTGCCCTGGGCGCCTCCCGCAGGCCATGCGCCGTGCTTTGAGAAGGGGCACTGCAGCCTTCCGAGGCCACTCAGGAGATGCAGGAGATCACTGCAGGGCGGTCACCACCACCGCGGGTCTGCATGGCGTGCTGCAGAGGCCTGGGGGGACAGCGGCCGCCCAGGCTTAGGTGATGTCTAAGACACCCAGAGGAGGTGATCGCTAGACTGAGACCTGGCATGTGGCACAGGGTATCCCCACTTTTCACATAGGGGCTCCTGCCCCCAGCCCAGCTCCCCCACACCTAGGGCAGCTGGCACAATGGAGCACCACGGGTGGAAGGATTGATCCTGGTCTTCTCTCTCTGTGTCTGGAAGATTTCTCCCTGGACGATGGCAGCTACAATTCAGGCAATGGAGAGGAAGATCGAATCACAGGCTGCCCGCTTGCTGTCCCTAGAAGGTCGAGCGGGGATGGCCGAGAAGAAGCTGGCCGACTGCGAGAAGACGGCCGTGGAGTTCGGGAACCAGCTGGAGGGCAAGTGGGCCGTGCTGGGCACCCTGCTGCAGGAGTACGGGCTGCTGCAGAGGCGGCTGGAGAACATGGAGAACCTGCTGAGGAACAGGAACTTCTGGGTCCTGCGGCTGCCCCCGGGCAGCAAGGGGGAGGCCCCCAAGGTAACCCGGGCCTGTGGGGTAGGACTGCCCGCGGGGCTGTGCCTGGTGGAACTTGTGGTTCCAGGTGCCTGTGACTGCTGGTGACATGGCTGTCTTTCTCGGAGCAGGAGTGGGGCAAGCTGGACGAGTGGCAGAAGGAGCTGTACAAGCACGTGATGAGGGGCAACTACGAGACGCTCGTCTCCCTGGGTGAGGCCGGACGCTCGCTTCCCCGTTCAGTGTTATTTGGGGAGTCCTCAGACCTCTCTTTTCATGCCGGTGGGCTTTATCGCAAGGCTGCATAAATCCCTAGGAACTCTGACCATGTAAAGAGTAACCACCTCTTTTATTTTTATTTATTTATTTATTTTTTATCCTCACCTGAGGACATTTTTTTTGTTTTTTTTGTTCAGATAGTGGGAGGGAGAGAGAGAGAGAAACATCAACATGAAAGGGACACATCGAGTGGCTGTCTCCCACACGACCGACCAGGGCCGGGGACAAACTGCAACCGAGGTACGCGCCCTTAGCGGGAACCGAACCAGGGTCTCTCTGGACCGCAGGCCGATGCTCTAACCGCTGAGCCAAACCGGCCAGGGCGAACCTCCTCTTTTAAAGGTGAGCACTGGCTGACTGCCTTGAAAGCTCCCTTCTACCTGGTGAAGCTCATGAGATGCCAGACAGAGGCGGGGTGGCCTCTCTCCTAACCAGGGATGGAGCATGGCCGTTTCCATCCTCCCGCTGAGACTTGGAGTGGAGAAGGCCCCTACCACTCAGATCTAGGATCTAATCCACCCACATGGGAGAAAGAATGTTTCTTTTAGCCGCCTCTCACTGAGATGCGTGGCCTTGACCGTGACACTCCTCTGGGTCTGAGGAGAGTGTGGGCAGACCACACTCCCTGCAGCCGTGCTGTCTTCACGCCCAAGACTGCTCCCCAGACCCTGGGGCTGCCGCCGCTCTCTGCATGTGATGCCCCTAGACGGGCCGGGCTCTTTCTCCCTGGACTCCTTTCCTCTCGGAACATCTCTGGCCCCGGGCCTGGAGGCAGTGAGGCTCCCTTAGTGAGAACGGAGCAGGTGCGGGAGTGAGCGTACCTTTCAGTTGGCCCGAGTGTACCACTTCTCAGTGTGGAGACGAGACCAGAGTTCTCCACCTCGGCACTGTGCCAGCTAGGGCCGGTGACTGTGTTGTGGGGCAGCAGCATCCTGACCTCCACCCCCAGGTGCACCTCTCCTCCAGCCGACGTCTCCCTGGGGACAGACCTGCCTGGGGTTGAGAACACTGCTCTCCACCAATCAAGAAATTAGTTTCTTGGCCATTCTTGGTTTCTCAAGCTGCCTGTCCCCAGCTCTGACAGGAACCACAAGGCAGAAGCTAACCTGTACGTCTTTCCTCAGATTATGCCATCTCCAAGCCCGAGGTCCTGTCCCAGACTGAGCAAGGGAAGGAGCCGTGTGGCTGGCGCCGCACAGCCCCCAAGGTTCCGGATGTTCCTGTGGACCCAAGTCCAGGTGAGGGTCTGGGCTGGGGCCAGGGAGACACCAGGCAATCTGATGGAAACAGAAGTAAAGGGCCAGAGAGGGTGTGGCTTTCTAAGTGTTGTTTTATAGTTGAGTTACGACCTATCCGCTAACACTCAGGAATACATCCCAGTGAGGAAACAGGCAGCAAACCCAGCCTTTTGGGGAAGAGAGAGCCAGCTGCACTGAATTAGCGGACGTGTAGGAAAGGCATTGATAGGGAAGGTAGGATTCTCTTTAAGACAACATTTAATTCGTGCATAGCTAGCTTCACAAAGAGTCAGCCTCTCCTCCATCCAAGAACCACATCTCGTTGAAATTCATTAGTCGTCACAGAACATTAACCCACTAGCCACATGTTAACCACACATCTCGCTATGATTTAGAACCACAGATTGGTTTAAAGTGAATCTGGATACCGGATATCACTGTCTCAGGTTTTCCTAGAGCCAGTCAGCACCTTTGAAAGTTAAGGAAAGGACAGGTAGATGCGCAAGAAAAGCCACATGACTGAAGTGAAACCCTGGCCGGGCTGGGGGGGGATGACAGTCTGCCCCTTGCCAAGGCAGACCCGCCTCCTCCTCGTCTGTCCCCACCGCCTGGGTTTCCCTTTCTTCCGAACACCTGTGTTACCAGAGTCTTACTGTGTGTGATTCGTGGTGAATGAAGTGTGTTCTCTGTTTGCTGTTTCACTGAGATTAGACTTCCACTTTTCCAAAGGCAGATGGGGTACACAACCAGCCACTTCGTCAGCAGATGTGCCCAGAGTAGTCACCATTCAGGTGCCGAGGACAGTCTGAAAGATAGAGGACAAAGGGCAGAAAGAGGTGGTGACACAGGGGCTTGTACTTTCTTAGCCTGGGTGGGAGGTTCATGGTGGGCTTGTTTCATTACATTTACAGCATTTATACATGGGCCTCTCTGGTTTCCACACCACCATTAAAGGGGACCTGGAAACAGGGTGGCTGCTGGCAAGACCCCCACAGTGTCCTGCCCTCTGTTCTTGGCCTTGAGCACGTCATGGGGAACCCTGTACGGCCCTGATCCAAACCCCACTCACCCTCACCCCTCGGCTTGGTGCGGCCCCTATCAGACCTCCTCTCCAGCGTCTTAGCTCCCTACTGCCGTGCCTTGTGCAACTCAGTCTTCGCAAGACCCCCACATTCAGGCTCTTCCTGAGCATCCCTCCCCACTGTCCTTGCTCAGACGAGCCCTGGGTCCAGGGACACTGTCCCCGGCAGCCTCTCCTTTCCCACCCCTGGTCTGGCAGGGGCTGCTCTGTGCCAGGCTCTCCCCTCCCTTGAATTACATGCCCCCCATCTCTTCACTGCCTTCTGCAGACCTTCCACACCCTCATCTCTGCTCCTGTCATCGTTCTTGGTGATGGCAGCCCCCACGAGGGTGGTCCTTTGCCCCCCACCCTCACTCCGTCTCTGCCACCCACCCCGTGGCCGTTCCCCTGACGGGGGTGACAGTAATGTACCTCTTCCATCTCCTCGGCCTCAGCACACCTTCCCCATCCTCCTGCCCTCGAGGGTCACTGCTGACTCCAGCATCCCTCCTGTCCCCCAGCTCCCTCGGGCCCTGGGCCTGCCGCCTCTTCACTGCCCCGCTTGGCTGCATTTCCCGCTCAGCCAGCCTAGGTTCTGGGCCCATCACCATCATTTATTGGTTTTAGAGAGAGACGGATGCAGAGGGAGAGAGGGAGAGAAACATTGAAGAGAGAACATCGACTGGCTGCCTCCTGCACGCCCCCCACTGGGGATTTGGCCCACAACCTGGGCATGTGCCCTGACCGGGAATCGAACCGGAGACCTCTTGGTGCAGGGTCAGTGCTCAACCACTGAGCCACACTGGCCAGGCTATGGCCCAGCATTTCTTACCTGCCTCCCTCCTCCCCCGTCTGGACATAGACACCCTCTTGCCCCTGCAGTTCCCACCCCACTTCTCTGTCCCCCACTGTGCGCACTCCCTGCTGCCTCCACCCCTCCTCCCACTGTCTTGCCCCTTTCACCTACTCCTGTCCAGGCACCAGGGAGATCCGTGGTGCAGACAGTCTGTCCCCCTCCCTGACCCCCAAATGCTGACATTTGCACTATTGGTCACTCGCTTCCCAGATGCGCTTTGTCTGAGAGGACACCCCGCCCTCACTTGCCACTTCACTCGCCACTTTTCCTTTGCTGTGTCCCTCGCTCTTCCTGACCTAACGTCCTCCCTGCTGTTCCTCCAGCGCTCCAGCACCCGCCTGCCAGCCTTCGCACCTGCTGTGCCCTCTGGGACAGCTCTCCGGGTGTTTCCCCGCTCAGTCCATCACCTCCGGCCTCTGCTTCAGTGTGACTTTCCCTGATCTCCCTGTTTGAAGGTGCAGCCCTGCTCCCCAGGAGCTCCAGCCCCCCTTCTCCGCTTTGTTTCGAGAAGATATCGTCATCTGTTACATTTTAAACATTTCATATTTATTTATAGATGTATGTATGCCTGGTTGTGCCTCCCCCCACCCCCTTAGAATGTAAATTTCGAGAAGACAAGAACTGTTACTGTCTTGCTCATGCAATCATTCTGGGCCCTAGAATACTGCTGGCCCAGCATAGGGGTTCCCTCAGTACGTGCTGGCTGTGTGCTGTGTGTCGTTGAAAATACGTGTGTGTATGGAAAGCATTTCTGATACAGTTTAAATTCCTCTTTAATTTTTAGTTAATCCTCACTTGAGGATATTTCTTCTATTGCTTTTAGAGAGAGTGGAAGGGAGAAAGGGGCGGGAGAGACATGGAGAGAGAAACATGGATGTGAGAGTGACACATCGATTGGTTGCCTCTGGCCCACACCCTGACCAGGGCCAGGGATGGAACCTGCAATCCAGGTACGTGGCCTTGACCAGGAATTGAACCCTCAGGCCAACACTCTAACTGCTGAGCCAAACTGGCCGGAGCTAAATTCCTTTGTAGATCTGTCTCATTTGACCCTCGGGTAACAACCATCGTCATCAAGTTGGTGTTTATTTTTTCCCCACACATTTTAAAAGTTTTATTATGTACATATTTGGCCATAAATAATATATAACATGGTTTTCCTTGTTTTGAAAAATTACATCAGTGTCATTTATCACTCAATATTCTGTATTTCATATTTATGTCTCTTGATGCATATAGATGAAGTTCATGCATTTTCATGGATGCTTCCTAGTCCAAAAGCAACTGTATTACAATTTATCATCCATCTGATTTTTCTCTTACACATGGCGTTACAGTGAACATTCTTGAACTTGTCTCTTTGTGGCCACACAGTGATGTCTCCGTGGGAATAGACTCAGGGTGGGGCCCTGCATGGAAGGATGGGCATGCTGGTCTGCACCTGTGCCGTGGCCACGGTGCTCTCCTGTGGGCACACGCATGTGCTGCTGCCCAGCACCTAGGGAGTGCCTGTTTTCTTCATCCGTGCCCACTTTTCAGAATTAGATTTTTGTCAATCTGATGGAAATGAAATCATATCTCGTTTTAATTTGCATTTGCAGTTGAGCATCCTTTTCATAGGTTTATTTGGTTTCTTCCCCAGTGTGGTGTCTTTTTCTGTTTTTCTATTGTTTTTTCCTTATTGATTCAGAACTTCTTTCTATAGGTTCTAGACACAAGCCTTTCTTTGCGTCGAGGTACCTTCTCCCGGTCTGCAGCAGGTCTTCTCGCTGCACAGTCCTCACGGGGAAGCATATCACCCTTTTCCTTTCTGATCTGTGCTTTTCTCTTTTTTGTTGTTGGTTAATCCTCACCTGAAGCTATTTTTCCATTGATCTTTCAGAGAGAATGGAAGGAAGGGAGAGAGGGAGGGAGGAAGAGAAAGAGAGACACATCCATTGGTTGCCTTCCACATGACCCTGACCAGGGCCAGGGATCAAACTGCAACTCAGGTACGAGGTGCCCTTGACTGGGAATCGAACCTGAGACCCTTCTGTTCTCAGGCCGATACTCTAACTGCTGACTCAGAGTGGCCAGGGCTGTGCTTTTCTGTCTTAAGATACCTTTCCCTACCTCTCCCCAGCTCAGAAAGATATCTTCCAGTAATTTCTTATAAAACTTCTAAAGTTTTGCTTTTCACATTTAAGTCTTTAATTGACCTAGAATTAATATATGTGTAGATGGCAAGAGAGAATTTAAAAAATTTTCCCCACAAGCACGTTTGACTTTCCAACAAAGTTCGCTGGGTATTCTGTCTTCCTGTGGTAACTGGTGATGCCAGTTGTGCCATGAGCCAGGTTTCCACAAGGAAACGTGGTTTCCGGGCTCTGTCTTCTGTTTCGTGGTCTCTGTCCGTCTGCGCCCACACGGACTGTCTGACCTTCCTAGGAAGCCTTGACTCTAAAAGACCAAGCCTTCCCCACTTGTTCTTCAAAACTCTTCACGGCTGTTCTTGAATCTGTGTTCTCCGTGAATTTCCGAATCTTTGTGTCACGTTCTCAGAAAATCCTGTTGGAATTTGATAGGAATTGCACTTCATAATTTTGTTTCTGGAGAATTACCCTTATTCCAACACTGAGCCCCTCTCTCCATGGGGAGACTCATCTCCTGAAGGCTTCTCTGTGTATGTTTGCACATGTTTTAGTTTTCTCCCCAGAGTTGTTATTTGTATTTTGAGTGGGATTTTTTTTTTTTTTTATCCTCACCCAAAGATATGTTTTACTGATTTTAGAGAGAGAGGGGGAGAGAGAGAAACATCAACGTGAGAGAGACATCGATTGGCTGCCTTTCATATGTGCCCCAACCAGGGACCAAACCCACAACCCAGGCATGTGCCCTGACCAGGAATTGAACCTGAAACCCCTTCAGTGCACATGACCATGCTCCAACTAACTGAGCCACACCAATCAATATTGAATGGGGCTTTTGGGGGTTTTTTTGCTTTTTTTAAATCCTCACACGAGACTATTCCATTGATTTTCAGAGAGAGAGAGGAAGGGAGGGAGGGAGAGAGAGAAACATTGATGTGAGAGAGACACATCAATT